ATGTGGACACCGGTAAACTTGCTTGACGCGCTCACGTTGAACGCGACGGACCCGAGCTGCGGCACGACCGCCGTAATCTTGCCGTCGTACAAGAGCGCGATTTTCGTCCGCGCGGAAATGATCGACGACCCGGGGAGCGCCGTGTGCGGCACGGACGAGACACCGAGGCTTTCAATGTCGTCTTCGACAAAGAGCGGCGAGAGGAGGCTCGAGCCCCAGATCTCCTGGCGCTCGCTCAGCGCCATGCGCGTGCACGTCCCGCCCATCTTTGCCACCGCTCGGAAACGGACCTGAGACTAACTATAGCGCGGCGGCCACCTCGATACAAACCTCAAGTCACTTACAAACCACTGATGGGAGAAAGGACGCGTGCGGTTACGCCTTTTGGGACCGTAACCTTGCACCTCGGAGCATCGTCGCATTCCCTCGCTAGCATGCGTGTCGAGCACGACCTGCAGCATCGATTTTTTTAGCGTGGATAGCGTTGTAGGTCGACGTTTGAACAAGAAGGGCCAACGGTGTGGTGTTTCTTGGAGACGTGGTAGGAGCAACTGCAGTTGTGCCAGACAAGACAGAATGTCGTGTTGCACATTTTGCATACCCAAGAACAAGCAGGTTCAAAATAAGGAGCAAGTCGCTTCAACATTCAACATTGAAGCTCGGGGTTGAAGCTGAAGTTACAAGCTATCTAGCCTGACACAAATAATGCAGCTCTATCATTTTCATCACGAGCTCAAGCAACCAGCAAACAGCTAGCTGTGGCGTTTTGATCGTCGTGGTCGTCTTGGGCTTCGCCATGTTGTTGTTGCTGTCTTGTTGTTGTTGACGAGCTGTTGGGTGGCCCGTTGGTCTGTTGCTTTGCATTTGAACGTTCAAGATACCACAGCTAGCTATTTGCTGGTTGCTTGAGCTCGTGATGGAAATTATAGCAAGAACTGCATTATTTGTGTCAGGTTCGCAAGCTTGTAACTTCAGCTTTAACCCCGAGCTTCAATGTTGATTGTTGAAGTGGCTTGCTCCTTTATATGCACTTATCTTGATTCTGCTTGCTTTTGAGAATGCAAAATGTGCAACACGACAAGCACAGCAAAGTGTAAAAGCGAGCAAGGCAGGGAAGCGAGCATGGTAGGTGCCTGCAATGTTGGAGGGACCCCTTGCGGGGAGTTTGTTATCTGAAAACCGCCATCTCCGTTGTGCAGACCTACCATACGAAGACCACGCGTATCAAGCCGACATGTTGGAGATGTGTATTGTCAATAACAAGAAGTCTCATAGCTCGATCACCGAGGTGTCCGGGGCATACGGGGGGCGATGGCAGTAAATAGCGGCTCCTACCACGCACATGCTTTTTCAAAAACGAAAGGAGCCAAGAACAACGTACAAGCAACAACGGTCGGCGGGAGACGGACCGCAGGCGTCGACGCCTGCGTGGATCGTCGCGCACTTGACTCAAAATGGTCGCAAATCGGCGGTGGACGTGATTGTCTTCGGGTTTTATGGGGTTCAAATCTGGTGGCGACGGCGAGCTTGGAACGGCGTGCTCGAAGAGTGGGTACGCCGCGAGCAAGGCTGCGAACAGCGGCGTCTTCTTGAAGCGCGGCAAAGTGTCCTTGCGCACGAGCCGCAAAATCTCGTCGAACGCGCCATCGAACAGCGACGCGATCGCCCCAGAAGGTGCGAGAAGGGCCGGTGACGACAACGGTCGGCCGCTTTTATGCGTCGCGAGCGACACAATAATGTCTTCGCGCATCTTGGCTTCGATATTGACTTGCTGCGCCGCGCGAGTATCAACGAACTCGTTGCAGATGCTCAATGCGCGCTCGAGCGACGGCGAGAGCTTGAACTGCTGCACGGCGAGCATGAAGTCAATGTTTTCCGTGCTAAACTCGGCGCCGGCAAACTCCAGAATCGCCTTGCGTGCGTCCGGGAGGTTAAGCAGCGGCATCACGTCGACATTCTGTCGACTCAGTCGCAGCTGAATCGCGGCGACCGCCGCGCGATCAAAGACCATGTCCGTCGCGGCGTGGTCGCACGAGAGAAAGACGCATGGTGTTGCCGTGCTTGCTTCGCTGCCCCAGGGGCCCGTTGGTGGCAACGGCACGTGCCCAAACGAGCCGAAGTACCCTGTTGTCGAGACAAGTGACTTTTGCGTCCCGCTTTGGAGATGCTCGACGCTGCCTGAAAGGAGTATGCTAAACTTGGGCTTGCCAACAATTGCTACAAAAATATCGTCGAGACATAGTGTCCACAATACAAGAGACAGAATGTCCACAATGAAAAACGTACGTAGCACGCTTTGGTGCGCGGGCACATCGTCTTCAATGTAGCAGTGCTGGGCCCACGCGACGAGACGGTCGAGCGGAATCGCACGAAAGAACGGCACGCTGCCTTGCGCCGCAATGTTGTGCACAAAACGTTCGCAGAGCATGCCTTGCAATTTCCGGTGGACTTGAGGAAAGTGCTGGAGAAAGCGCAGAAAGTTGCTGCCGTCGAGGCTAAGGAGCATGCACGCCGCTTGGGTAACGAGCGTCGCCGTACGCGGCATGTGGACCAGGAACGAGGTTTCGCCAATGCACGACCCGCTCTGAAGCACGGTGACGGTCCGCATCGTTCCTTGTACCTACAGTGGTGTAGCGAAATCAATTCAAATGGACAAAAATTGGCGGCATCGAACCGGGTCTGTTTTTTGAACCGCGATGGTTCCTGCCAGTAGAATGGACATTTCTCGTCCACCGATTTCGCCTTCGGCCATGAGACGCTAGCATCGTTCACTGCGTCGTACGTGAAGAGAAAATAGAGTCGTCTTTACCACGTTGGCATCAACGATGGAAATTGTGCCGAGATCCGCGAGCTGCGTCAGGTCGCGGGTTGAAATGTCTGCGAAAAATGGACTCGCGCGCAGGATGCGCACACAGTCTTCGCTGATCGCGACGCGCTCGTCTCGACTCGACCGGTCAAAGCTTTCAACCGAGGCAACCGGTCGCCACTTGGCCATGGTCGCCATGGCTGCTGGCGCCGACGTCGCATCGACCGAGACGGTGAGCGCGCGGACCTTGCCGTGCACGGAGATGTTGGTTGCAAGCACCGACTTGGCGACGACGTCCAGGTGGTTGCCCTTTGGAATCAAAAACCGGAGGATGTACAAGTTGTCTACTCGATCCATGACAACGTGTCCATCCATGGCGCGCGTACCTTCGTGGGGATTGTGCGATCGCGTGTCTCGGACGCAGCTAATGAGTACCTCGTCCGTCACAAAGCGCCGCACATCCTTTTGATCGTGGAGAAACTGAACGAGCGACTGCGCGTCTTCAACATTTGAGGTTGCGGCCGCGCGACGCACGATCGGTTGAACGTGAAAAGCAACGTCGCCAACACCGAGAACGGTAGCCGATATCGCTCCGTCGTAGACGAGGAGGCGGTCCAGCCCCGGCGCGATCATCGCTGGGAGTAGCACGACGTCGAGCGACATGCCCGAGAGCTGCAGCGGTGGCTCGACGCAAAAAAGCGAGGCGAGGATGCTCGACTGCCACACGGCGTCCTTTCGGCGTGTGTTGTGGTGCTTGGTGCGAACTAGTCGCGGTCCCTTTGCGCTCTCGGGCAGAAGGTTCGGGAGGACTCGCGACGCATGGCTGCCCATGCTACGACTGCATTCGCTGTCTCTTCTATTTCTATAGCACTCGCGAATATAACGCTCCGGATTATTGAGACAACATATTGTTCACTGTTCAAACGGCCAAGCCAGCAGCAGACGCATTGTAGCCGACATGGCAGAATAATCGTCAAGTTGGTTTTTGCTAGATCGTTGTATGTCAACTAGGACGACGGCGCAAAGACGTTAAGGCGGGCGGCTTGATGGCGCACGAGCAGCGGCCGCACGGGTGCACTCGGAACAAACTGTTCGAGAAAGTACGCGAGCTCCAATGGCCCTGGCATCGGCGGCGCCATGGCTTGGAGCTCGGCGTGGATCTCCTTCGCAAGAAGGTGCGTGAGCGGCTCGTCTTCGATCGTGCGCTGCGTCTCTTCCTCGATGCGTTCGTTGAGTTGTCTCGTATCGTACTACCCAGTAGAGATTGATGACAAGTTGTCCAAACTTTGTTCGACCTCCATGTTTTTGATGAGCGACATGTAGCACACGATAAATTTGTGGACAATGCTGGCAATGGTCTGGCTGCAGTCTTGCTCGAGTTGCTAGCGCAGGTTTTTGAGATCCTCCAGAGGTCGGTTTGGAAAAAGAGACCTGCTGGTTGAGCTCGATCGACTCGAGCGACCGAATGTAGTCGCTTGCAATTTTGCGAAAAGCCTTGTACTGAGAGGCGCACGTCGCCTTGGCGACCTTGGACGCGCGAATCTGGTGCGCGATGTGCTCGACCACTTTGGTTTCCTTGCCCGTGCGGATCTCGGCACGGTCGTCCGAGTCGAGGATCTCGAAGATGTACGGGTCGATCCCGCCTTTGTTCATGCCGGTTTCGAGTGCTTTCGCCGCCGACTGGAACGATACGTCAAACGATTCGAGCGATGCGCGGTACTGCGTCTTCGTCGCCTACGCCATTGCATATGCCTACGCTATCGATGGTCGGCGAGCACCTCAAAGATGCGGTTGCGCTCGGTCGCGTCGGTCTGCAGCGTCTGCAAGCGCTCAATGTGGCGCTGGAGCTCTTGCTCGAGCTCGTCAATGTCCAGCGGCAGGTTGATGCACATGGCGTCCTGCGCGCTAGCGACCTGGGCAAAGAGCGCTGAGACGCGTGCAAGGATGAGGCCACTGCCATGGTACGTCGTCGAGGCCGGCTGCGCAGCCTCGAGCTGCGCGGTCGCCTGTTCGGAAAAGTCGCGCAGCTCTTCCTTGTGCTTGGTCTGGAGCTCCACGAACTCGCGCAGCGTCGTGGCCAGCACCTTGGTCGCATGGATCCACTCGGCCGTGTTGCCGAAGGCCCGCGCTGCCCGGTCCGTCGCCATTTGCTGCAGCGATTTGGATTTGGCTCGCCTCTTGTGATTGGCTCATTTTGTTCTCCAGTTTGTGGCCGATTTTGTATTCGTATCATAGAATTATCGATACAACACTTGTTGTTTGTATGTTGTATTTCAATCACGGAATAATATTTTGGATCTCGTCGCTCCCTGCCCGTCCACATACAAACATCAAGTCTATCAAGTGAGCGATGAAACGGCACGCGCAGGCTAGGAACACGCAACTTCCGTCCGGGGTGGAGGCACCGACGACACAGCAGCACAAAGCTCTCAACCAAACGATCCAAGCCGTTTGAGCACCATAGAACGAAGGCAATGACAAGCGTGAAAATGTACAGAGCTCCAGCTCACATAGTCCTGTCGACCTACCTCGTATTTTTTATTCCGACGCAACACTTGGTGTTTGTATGCAATGGAGCAAGGTGGGAATAGAATGCAATCTGGCGGCCGAGCTGCCACGTCATGTTCCGGCCTTCGCACCTACGGTTGATCATGTTTATCAACTTGCAGGCGGTTGCCATGACGCACTCTCTTACTTTGCCTTTTCGCCCGTCGACACCAGTCCGTTCGAGCCATGCAAGCCGCGCGCAACCACCGCCACCGCCGTGACGTCCACACGGCGCCGTTTGACCTCGGCACCTTGCGGCGCTACATCGCCAACAACTGGGTGCACGAGGCCGCGATCGAGCTCAACAAGGTGATTGACACTCGAAACAATGGCTTCCACGACGCCCATGTACGCCGTCTTCTCGCAAACGATAGCGCTCACACTTGCATTGTAGATTCGTGAAATCTACGGCAGCGACGGACGACTGCGGAACTCGATTCTGTTTACGATTCTACGCCACCCAGCGACCACGGACCTTCTCAACCACCCGGTCATGCGCGAAGTCGAAAACATCAAGTGGCAGGTATGTCCTTCCTTCCGCCATCATTTAGGTTTGTAAAGCACGTCTCGTAGAGCTTTGCGTGCTGCATGTACATGCAGCAGCTCCTGCTCTACCTCTTGCTGCCGACGACGCTGACGCTTTCGGTGACGATGGACCTGAGCGACGGTGAGTCGCCCAACTTCCATACCCAGCTGCTCGTCTGGTTGAATGCCGGCGTCGCGCTCGTGCTCGGTCTCGTGGCGACCAACTTTTTCCAGTACACCAACCGCAAGCGCTGGGCCTTCCGGTCCATCGCTGGCATCGGTCTTGTGCTCATAACGCTCCATTTCTGCTCCGATCTGATCGCTGCCCGTGTCAACTGGATCTGGTTTGTGCGCTGGAACAACCTCGTGCTGACGCTCACGACGCTGTATTTCATTCGGATTGAAATCCTCGAGCTCTGCAGCGTGGTCAACGTCGACGCGAACCCGACCTTTATGCAGCTGCTCGAGGTCGCCGCCGAGACCCTTTGCGACTTTTTTCTCAACTTCATCGGGCGCGCGAAATCGCACAACTTCGAGTCGTTCTTTAACAAGGTGCAGCTCCTGACGTTTGTTGCGATCCTCGTCTTCGTCGTCACCGAGACCTTTTGCCCGTTCAGCAACGACGTCCGCCTCTACCTCGGCATCATCATTACGTTCGCAGCGTGGGCCCTCGGTATTCAGCACCTCGAGAGCCACAACATGGCCGGGTACCTCATCTCGCTCATGACGCTCATGCTCAAGAACATGGTCAAGTTTACGACCTTCTACCTTCCGTTCCAGTGCGTATATGCAATTGCGTACTACCTCCTCTTTGAAGGCCGCAACGTCGACGCCTACGCGACGATCGACAACAGCTTTGTGACCACCTTCCTTGTCATGGTCGGCCAAATCGACCTCGATCCGTTCGAGGACCTCCCGGCACCGGGCCAGTATGTGCTCGGCTACACGCTCCTGCTGACGCACGCAACCTTGATCATTGTCCTCGTCCTGAACTTGCTCACCGCAACTTTTGACCGTTGACCTTTCAGTTGTCTTCTATTAGTACAGTTGCCAATGTTGTCTTTAGTTATATTTAGTCGACATCAAAGTGGCGTGTGCTTAGCCGATAGAATTCGTACCTCTCTCTCAAGTACGTCCATGCATCTTGTATACCAAAAAGCGTACTTTAAAGGGTCGCAACCACATTGGGATTGATTGGCGCATCATCCGAGCGGCTGCAGCATGAGCGCGATCGAAGCAACGCCACGCGGCCAGATCTGGATCATCAACAACATCCAGAAGCGCAAGAACATCCGCGATCTGCTTCTGAGCGCGGCGGCCTTTGGTGTCGTCGAGGTCTATGTCGTGGGCCACAAGCTCCTCAGCTTCGACGCGGCGCTCCTCCAGTTTGAAGATTCAGGTTTCGAGCTGCCCTTTCCAATCACACGCTGCGCGACGCTCGTCGAGTGCCGGAGCCTCCTCAAGACGCAGAACCCGTCGACGCAAATCGTTGGCATTGAGATCCTCCACAACGCCAAGAGCGTCAACGACCCGGATGTGTTTACCGAGGCGCCGATGGCCTTTATGGTCGGCAACGAAGGCAGCGGGCTCTCGGACGCCCAAGTGGCGATCTGCGACGGGTTTGTCTACATTCCGCAGTACGGCGGCGGCACTGCGTCGCTCAACGTCACGGTCGCCGCATCCATCATCATGCACAAGTACGCTGTCTGGGCACGTCCGTCGGCCCATCGCAGCGAATAAAGCTACCAAGATGTAGAACGAGTCGTTGATATCAGGTCGTGAGCATTTGTTCTTGGGGCTGAGCTGAGCTGTATCGCTTGCTCGATGACAACGATGAGGTGTTCAAGTCGTGCAGAGCAAGGTAGAGTTTGACGAAACTGGGATGCGGAAGGCTCGGTTATGATGCGGCCGTGGATGTGGCCGTCGCTGTCCAAGGCTACATCCGCTCAAACAAGCTTACTCACATTGCTCTGGGGAACGGGTGATTCGGGGCACAGCGACGTCACTTCATTGACGACGCCCAGGTGGCGTGCCAACAACGAGGTTCTTCGGTTCCTTGGGGATCCCAGCACCCATCAAGGGGCCGACAGAATCCAAGAAAGCCGCAGTCGAGCGCCATGGCACATCTAGAAACGTGGCAGCCACATCTTCGGGGTCAACCAGAGTAGCACAGCTAGCCCCGCCACCCGCAAAGTGCAAAGAAGCTTCGGCTGCATGGTCCCGGCACACTTCGAACTTCGACGCCACCCACACCGATCTGATTTTCACGGCAAACTCGAGTTTCCCACCACACACACGGCTGCTACCACTGCATTTCTCGCGGGCAGAGCAATCCCCATTGCCCTACGACATGTCGCTGTACGCAGAGCTAGAACACCCTTCGGTGACGCCATCATCCGCGCCGCCGCCATGTAGCTGTGTCGGCCACGCATTCGGCCACAGAGAGCACAAAGTACATACACCGAGGCCGCACAGTACACTCCACACGCTCCTGCATACTTGATGACGCCAAGAGTGATCGCTGCACGTCACTGCGCTGTGAGTTCGCACGCCATTCTGGCCACATACATCGTCACCAGCAATTGCGCTGGCCACAGTCGGCAACTGCAAGCTCCACTTCACGCACGCCACCATGTTCTTGCCTTGTCTACCGAAAACGCATACAAGGCATACAAGGTACCATACAAGGCAGGATGCAGTGACGGACAAGCGGCCTCTCAACAACGGCGCCACTGCGTGAACGATTGCGCCGCCTCTTCCAGCCTCGGTTGCCACGTATTCCCGACGGCAATCGAAGATTCCCCGCAAACTTCGAATCGCACCTGCGCCTGACGCTCGGTCGCCCAATCAAAAACCGCGTGTCAAAGATTGCTTTCGACGCCAGTCACCAACTTGCCTCGTCCATGGAAATCCATTACCCTGACGACCTCCGGCCGCGCCGCCGGTTCACGTTTGAAGTCGACCAAGAGGCCAAGCGTGGGCGTACGTCCTCGCCGCCATCGTGCCTACAACTAATCATTTCTTATTGGCGTAGCCTCGTGGGTCTATCCGGGCCTTGGCAACGCGACGGGCCGCCTTCACCCGGCACCCGAAGAGCTCGCTGCGATCCACCAAGAGATGCACGCGCCCAAGCACTTTCTTTCCGAGTGGTACTCGACGGGCATTAGCGGCAACGACGTGCTCTCGAGCTGCCTCTACTCGTCCGGCATTGTGGCCTCGAAGGCCGGCAAGTTTGCGCCCTTCGCCAACCTCCTCGTCGCCTGTGTCATGTACCTCTTCCGCTTCATTTACGTCGAAGTCGTCTCGGCCATTCCGCTCAACGGCGGCTCGTACAACACGATGCTCAACTCGACGTCCAAGCGCGTCGCCGCGCTCACGTCGGCGCTCGCCATCATTGCGTACCTCGCCACCGGCGTCGTCTCGGCCGTCTCGGCGTCCGACTACCTCCGCAAGCAGATCGAAGACCTCAACCACATTCACTGCGCGACCGGCATTCTCGGGACCTTTGCGATCCTGAACGTCCTCGGCATGTCCGAGTCGGCCAAGGTCGCGCTCACGATTTTCATTGCGCACACCATCACGCTCGCAGTCCTTGTCGTCGCATCGATTGTCTACGCGTGCCAGCACCCGGGCATTTTCTGGGCCAATCTCCAGACGGACTTTCCGTCCGTGGACGTGGCGGGGGCGACCGTGCTCGGCACGCCGTTCACAGCGCTTTTCTTTGGGTTTTCGTCGGCGATGCTCGGCGTCACGGGCTTCGAAACCGCGGCCAACTTTGTCGAGGAGCAGCAACCGGGCGTCTTTCAGCTCGTGATCCGCGTACGTTGTTGCTTTTGTTTTTTGTTGCCTTATTTTCCGTTTCCATGGCGTGTCTTGACATTTTTCATGTGGATGTAGAACATGTGGTACCTCTCCACGTTCTTCAACCTCGCGCTCTCGGTCCTCAACCTCTGCGTGCTGCCATTGTACGGCGTCAACGGCACGATCGCCAACTCGGACATTGTGCTCGCGTCCATGGCCCGCACGACGATTGGCCGCTGGTTTGAGATTTGGCTCAGCGTCGACGGCTTCATCGTGCTCTCCGGCTCCGTCTTGACGTCGTACGTCGGCATCACGGGCCTCGTGCGGCGTCTCGCGTCCGACCGCGTCCTTCCCGAGTTCTTCCTCGCCGAAAACGCTTGGCGTCACACCAACCACTACATCATCCTCTCGTACTTTGTGATCGCGACGAGCCTCGTCTGGATCCTCGAAGGCAACGTGACCATGCTCTCGAGCATCTACTCGTACTCGT